ACACTACATTACTTGTATGTGGAGGTTTAACTTCAAATTACGCACTTCTACTTACGCACGACTAACCTGATTGGTCGCTACAGGTAGTTTCGTGTTGGGCTGTTATAGATTAGAGTCAGCTTGATTGGGCTATCTGTGCTGAATCGAACCTGATAGATTACATCGCTTCTGAGCTCTATTCCAAATTAGCAAAACAGTTATTTGGTGTTAAGATCACAATTGTCTAGTTAACAACCACAAATGGTTGATGAGGGGTTGTTGTTGTAGTGACCCATTTTATTACTCATCATCGTAGTATACTTTCACTATGTAATTGGACTTTGATTTGTTTATCACTCTAAAGATTGCGTGTTAACAAGTGACACTTTTGTACTCGCTCAATTTTTGAATTTTGATTCCTGCAATAATACACTGTCGTATTCCTTCGCAAGTGCCTTTTGAATAACGTTGTGGATGTCGAGTAATCACAACGTTAGGACACAATTATAAACGCGAAGAATTACTAGGATATAAGTGTACGCTAGTTTGGTCAAAATAGAGCAGCACAACATGGTATCCAATACCCCATATTAGTGAACAGTATGTAACATTGTGCATGTATGCCCACTTTCTTGATTGCTATTGATGGCAACTCCATTATGGATCAGATTTTATTTTGATAAACTGTCACTCACAGTGTATGTAGTGTTATACAGTAAGTAATATTAACTGATGCGACCACACGCTTCGAGCGCAATTCATTATTGACACTCATAATCATCATATCAAGTCACTCACTCAATCACACAACTTTCTTCTTCCTTCATTTATATACATGAGTGGAATTGATGATTAGACATTTGAATACAAATCAGTAATATAGGATAATGTACATTCAGAAATAATAATACGAGTGTAATCTGCACACTAACGTTTATAGAAAACCAACACATTCTAATAGATATTTGGACTTTAATTCATTTCATCGGTTGTCTGTAAAGACACGGTAATTTAAGTTAAGCGTCTAACGAACTGAGCAATAGCACTAAGTAGCACAAGAAAAGACCTTAATGATGAAATAAAACAGACAGAAGAAGAAGCGTTGGTATCAGATTACTAACTATCCTATAAAATTCATTAGGAAGATCGAAAAAGGCCAAAAGCAAATTAAAAACAATTGGGAAACTAGTGATGATACATAAATAAGAGAGAATATAAGGCATCTACATTTCTACTACATAAGGAGGGGACATCTGAGACACTCCCTACATAGGACTCTTAGTAATAGAGCAGGAATTAGGCTGGTGGTGGCATTCAAACCTACAAACTCACTCAGGTAGGACAAGCTCTGTAGGTTAAAGGACCCAGTGGACCCAATTAGACAAAATAATATAATTTACAAAATACCCTGCAATGACTGTGAGTTAGGTCAACTAAATAGGTGAAACCAGTAGGTCGGGGCAATCAGATTGTCGGAACATAAGAATTTAGCTAAGGTAAGAATGGTTGACCCCGAGAAGATAAGTAATTTAGAAAAAAGCTCAGCACTACATTGCACTGCATGCATTAACACACAACCACACAATAGCATGGTGGGAGAGGGTTAAAATTCTAAGAAGTAATCTATGTAGGTGGAGAGAGAGATTGATTACTGAATCCTGCCTGGTTCATTGAGTCTACACCCAACACAACACATGCAACAGAAATGACTCAATGCAAATACCAGAAATATGTGTGGAAGATATTATTACCACCAGTCAGTCAGTGAAATCAGAGGAGGATAATAAATAATCTTAAATTGTATTCTATTTCAATTCAATTCACGTACATCACAACATTCTAACAAGTTACTCACTTATTATGACTATAAAAAACACTCGTCTTATTTCCCATCTGATTGTAATTGATTGATAACACTCATATTATTATTATTATTTCTGAATGTACATTATCCCATATTACTGATTTGTATTCAAATGTCTAATCATCAATTCCACTCATGTATATAAATGAAGGAAGACGAAAGTTGTGTGAGTGAGTGACTTGATATGATGATTATGAGTGGCAATAGTTTGTGCTCGAAGCGTGTGGTCGCATCAGTTAATATTACTGTATAATACTACACTGTGTGGCAGTTTATCAAAATAAAATCTTATCCATAATGGAGTTACACTCTACCACCACAGTGCTATTGATGGTACCTCAAACTGTGTTAACTGCAAATTCTAAACTCAATTAAACCTTAACTCCACTTTGTCATACTATTCTGAGAACATATTATCATGGTAAATAATTTTCCCAAAATATAAATGTACTCTTTCATCCTTTTTTATCAAACTTTTCATCTTGTTCAACTGAAGTCTAAATTTTTCTTCTATTTTACAGGATTTCCATCATGAGGTGACATTAGTTAGAGAACCATTGGAAAACCTGGGATTACTGGACAGCTGTTTAGTCCTAGTTTGGGACTCTTCAGCAGTACGCACCCACCGCCAATTTCCGAACCCAGGACCTTCTGGTTACAAAGCGAGCTAGCTCGTAGACGATTGAGCCACTGGGACCCCATCCAATGGCCCATGAATTCTAACTTCTGCCAATTCACGAAATAGCGCGACCCCTAGCCAATGTCTTCGGCGAGTATTTGTCCTCACACCCAACCTGCTGCACCTTACTGGTCACGACTTTCCGCTGGAATCCCAGGTAACTACCTACCTGAATAGGGCCAGTCGCCAGTGAGCATCCCATTGGTATTCAAGTGTTGGTTTGTAGGGATTTGATTGGTTACAGGATTTTCATCATGAGCTGACATTAGTTAGAGAACCATTGGAAAACCTGGGAGTACTGGACAGCTGTTTCGTCCTAGTTTGGGACTCTGTCTTCTGTCTTTTTCACATATATGATGAATTGGCGTAAAGGACACTACAATCGTATATAGTACACAACTTTCCCAGCTTGTAATTGTCCAAAAGGCTAACAAAAAAATATGCTCCACTGCAAACCTCAAAAGTGCACTAGTGATTATGTCACATCCCACACTATTTATCACTTTTCGTGAATGTGTGGCACACATACATAGGGAGGAGTAATCGTGCTTTGCATGTGAGTTGGGTGGGACAGCGAGCGAGCATATCCTAAAATGGTTAGAAAAACAAATGAATTGTTAAAAACCAATAGATGCAGGTGTCAGTCAGACTACCAACTTCGTCTATAGCTAAACACCTAATCGAGATGAACCATAAGATTGATGTTACAACTCAGCCTTCAAGGTCATCTATAAAAACGGTTAAGGGAGCTTATTGAAGTACGCTGAGGCTATAGCTATTCATAAACTTAAGCCCCCGCTCCCATCCCGTGTGTATTCAAAAACAGTTTATTATTACTCTCAACTCTTTTTTTGTCACTTTGTTTAATTTAACTTTTTCATATATATATCGACTTGACAAGTAAATGTGTGAGGGACCAGATTGTTGTTCGAAATGTATCGCGCAAATACACCACACCACATTGCTTTTTTCAGATAATGTCCGTCTTCTAATCACAACACTATCCAAATTTATAAAAGGGGGACTAACTGTACGACAATGCTGCATGCCAAGTAATCCACAACGGGAAACTTACGGAATCCTTTGAAGAAGTGAAGACGGGAGTAAGACAAGCTGGCTGGCTGTCTACTATCGCCAATGATTTTCCTGATTGCAGTAGATTGGATCATGCGACATACAGCAGGCAGGGCAGCGAGGAAACAGGCATAAAATGGACTCACACAAAAAGGACTTGGAGGATCTGGACTTCGCCGATGTGGTATATATGTCTGATTTCCCACAAACTGGGAGATATGTAAGTGAAAAGCAGCAACAAGTTGGCAGAAGAAGCATCAAAGATAGGAATTGCTTCAGGTGAACATAGAGAAGACAGAGGTGATGAAGATTCCTGGGCAACACCACTTACAACAACATACAACGATCAGTATAAATGGAAGGAACCTGAAAGAAACAACCTCTTTTACCTATCTGGGAAGCGTCGTTTCAACTACAGGCGGACAGAACTGACGAGGATATCAAAGCAGTGAGGATCGAGAAAGCAAGACAACATTCCATTACTCTCTAGTTTGTGTGGAGCAGATCAACAGCACTCAGCATTAAAAATAAGATCCGGATTTTCAACTCCAATGAGAAGTCAGTCGGTGCTACTCACTATACGGATCAGAAACTTGGCCAGCGCATCATAATGAGCACCTCAAACAAACTACAGACCTTCATCAACAGCTAGTTGTCAAGATGAGATGGTCAGCCAGAAAAGATCAGCAACAGGGATCTCTGGCGATGAGCGAACCAACACAGCAGGAACCGATTGTGAAACAAATAGGCAGGAAGAAATTGAGATGGATTGGCTGGCCATACTGTGAGAAAATGAACAATTAAGTGACATCGCTAGACAAGCCATTGCTCCAGTAGAACCTGAAAGGGAAGCGGCGAGTTGGTCGTCAGTGCAAGGGTGACTTGGAGGAGGTCATGTGAAGAGGAGATGTAAACGTGTGGGCAGACCTGGAACCAGATAATGACTCTAGCAGAGAAGCAAACGCAATGGAGACGTGCGCGGCTGAAGCCTTATGTTCCTGTAGCAATTAAAGGAAACGATGATAATAATAATAACTGTTTTAAATTATTTTACTTTATTTGTGAAAATAAAAAAAGGAGATAAAGTGAAAGAAAATTTAAAAGATAAACAGAATTTATATATATATATATATATATATAGTGTTTGTAAATCTCTTATTCTGTCAAAAAATAACAAAACAGCTCATGAAGACCAAGTAGAGTTTTCATTCAAAATAAGCTCACATGAAGTTCGTTAACCAAAATTTAAAAAAAAATAATAAGTAATTGGTTATGGAAGCGAACAATTATGTCTAAATATGATGTATAAATGAAAAAAAAGCATAAATTAAGTAAGCATAGTGATTAAGTTAAACTTATAACATAATAATGTAATGTTATAGAATTCTTTGCCATTATTAGCATTATTATTATTATGATTATTATTATTATCTCAGCCACTTGTACACTTCGGCTTCAATGATAACTTGCAATGAGAGACCCAAAATTTCACTGGAAAAAAGATAATTTAAGGCTGTTTTAGATAAGTGTCAGAATAAATTTCAGGTAGTGTGGAAAAGTTCAAATAAATTATAATTATATACTTTAATATAGCAAAAATATTCATTCAGACATCTATCTATAAACCCAAAAAAATAATTGAGCCAGAAAAGAATATCCTTCTCCATAAATTCCTCCTCCTCTTCTCGCTCTACAATTATATCTATATATGCATTTTTATATACATAGAATATTCTAGATTAGTTGTCAATAACAATATTAGTGTGTTTTGTAAATAATACCGATTTGTAAAGTAAGATCACAATGGAATCACCACAGTTCATTAAAGATGCTTAAATTACAATAATAATAATAAAGATATAACAACGAATAGAATATCAACTAAAATTGCGAAAATTCCACAAAAATTCAGGATTGATCATTCAAACCTAGATGGCCAAGCGGGTAAGGATAATGTCTGAACCAACCAACTTCTTTTGGATGCACAAATTAAGCCAGCTACACAATTCTTCTTATTGCACCATCCTCTTTTCTGGTCATAAGGACGCCTTCTGGTTAAGTAAAGGACAAACAAAATATATTCCCACCGCTATTCTATCTCACTCATCGTCTTGTGGATACATAACACAAGACTGATTGATGTTAACAAGGCGGCGGCATTCAGGGTCATTTACCGCATACCAACGAACAAATCTATAATTTCGCCTTAAGTGTTTGACTACTAAATGTTGCTGAGGCTGGCTGGCTGGTCGTTGGGATCCATATTAACAAGCTTAATTTGTGTATCCAAAAGAAGTTAGTTAGTTCAGACATTATCCTTACACGCTTGGCCATCTAGGCTTGAATGATCCTTAATTTCTTGTGGAATTTGCCTAATTTAAGTTGATATTCTATTTCATACTATATCTTTATTATTATTATTTGTTGATGTATTAGTTATTAGAATAGAAAGATTGTTCGAATGGATATTGTGGTTTGTTGTCGCCTGTGTGTGCAGGTAGGTATAGACGAATTTTTTTCTAAATTCTTGTAAGTTTGTGTTGCTTCCTGTTGGGATTAGCCTTCAATCGTTTCTTTTTTGATTGCAGCTTGATTCCACACCGTATTTTCAGTACAAGTATGGAATTTTCAGCATGCGATATCGGTAGCCCAAATTTTGCAGGCCGACCATAGATATCGGGTGTGCGTCGGCAGCGGATCGAACTCCGGACCGTGTGCATGGTCGACGAGAGTCCTAACTACTGTGCCTCTGACGCACAGGCAGGCGTGTTTATGTTGATTCATTGTGTATTTTGCTCTTCATTCATTGGGAGTCTCAATTCAACAAGTGTGAAGAGAGTATGAAAATGTACAGAAGCAACTGATGAGAGTGATAATAGTGAATTTATTATTAAAGTAAAATCAAACTAGTTAGCTAGTTATATTGGCTGCAAAAAGCGCACACCTTCCAAACACATCTCTAAGCGCTGTTCGGCATGGTTAGCAAATGGACAATGCAAGACAGTTACTACTACTACTACTACTCCCTTATCGAGCACTTGAGGAACTCAAGCCACACAGTTCCACCAGAGTAGTCTTTCAAGATTATCTACAAGGTGAGGCCAAAAGGTACAAAATGCATCAAGTTTCGGCTGAGGCACTGGCAGTTCGCCAACACAGCCTAGAAACTCTGAATACAGAAAACGTTTGTCCAGTCTCTTATTCTAATTTGGTCTTCACCTCTTCACTGGTCGTTCGCTGTAAAAAAATTTTATTTATTTTTAATTTACAATTCTGCTTTTAGTTTGCTTTTTGCTTTAATAATTAATTCAATATTATCACTCTCATATGTTGCTTCTGTACATTTTCACACCCCCTCGACACACTTGTTAAATTGACGCTCAACTACCTTGATTCTCACTTGATAGCAATTTTAACTTTATCGGATTTCTAACTTTGTACCATTGAGTACCACGTAATTTACAACTTTTATGTTTTTACTTCCAAAGCCACTTCTGAGTAATTAAATCAGTTATGTCACCCTCCCACTATTACTCAATAATAGACTACTATACATGCTTGGTAAATATAAATACGACTGTACAGCCTGTGAAGATGATTTCGTCGATAAAGAAGCATTTTCTTCGCTGAATTTGTCTTTTAGTTTTATGATACTCATTAGAAGTAGGTGAAAGCATATTTTGATTATCTATTTCAAGCGTTTTCAAACAGCTTTTCTGCTTCACTAAATGTGTAATGAAAAGTCAAAGTAAGCATGCGTCAGTCGTTCAACAACTGAATGCTGTCCAGCAAGGCAGGCAGTCCATTCCAAGGCGACGTACTGTGAAACCTCTCCTAACCTGTAGTCACCCAGGAGAAGTAATGAAGTTAGACTTTAGGCTAGCTAGATCCTAATTAGTAAAAACAGTCCTACCCCCATTGCAATCTCAATGCTTAAACCCCTTGCTTTGCACTCGGAAAGTATTGAACGGAGCACAAATGTTAGGATACAAGAGAGAAATAAGTGTGAGTTAATTTGGGCAACACTTTATTATTTGATAGCGCACAGAGAATTCTAAAGTTACCATTACTGTCTTTATGATCAAATAACCGCTTTTATTATAATGAATATAGATTTCGCTACAATTCAACATTAGTTAGAGGAACTATTTAGCAGTGCACACCTAAGTAACCATCACAGATAGAACTAAGAACCTTCAGGCCACGATGTTAGCCCACCCGCTTATCACTTAGCCGTGAAAATAATCAGAATCCATACAAAATCTAAAATCTATGCATCATTCTCTCCAGATCATTTACTGGCTACTGCTACTGGTGTCTTAAAAATCTAATGGGTATTGATAGCCCGGTGTGATATAGGATGTCAGGGCGAGGCGGATGCTCATCAGTATCACTGGTTATTGGTAGCGGTGTATTACAAGCTGAAAAAAGTTAGAAATGTCAGGTCACGGAATATACACATTGGGTCATAGGAATTATTTAAAAAAACGGTTGCTGCGAAGAAAATTTTCTTTTCGACGAAATCATCGTCAACTAGACAGAGCTGTACATTCGTGTATTTATAATAATAAATGGGTAGGAAAGTTCCAGAATAATTTCTGGTCAAGGGTCAGATTGATAGAATTACAATTAGGAATTAAAATGCCCTAATAAACCGGGGTGGTGGGACGGATAAAACTCAGACAAAGTGTAGCATCATAATTACCTAGTCAATTCAGGACATTCAGCGCCTTTCGAAAAATCCTTCAAAATAATATACAAGATTCGATCAAACCTATCAAAGGGAGTAAAATTAAGACATCTGGGCATAGTCAAGGCAAAAGCCATCCAAAAGCTCAAACTCACGCTAGGTATGTATCCAAAAGAAATACATCCAATCCTTGTCCCTGCCTGCCATGGCCATCATAAACAGGTAATTCTTTTAGTAATGACCATCCCATTACCTTTCTCATACAAAGCTCCTGTTTATTCATGTTATTTTAAGTTTTTCTTAATCCCTCCACTATTTACACTACCATATTTTCATATCCGAAATTCCTGACTATTTCCTTATTTCTACATTTCTAACCCCTGATTGCACAATCAATGTCAATCTTCTCTGTAATTATGATGCTACTTTGTCTGAGCTTTATCCATCCTACCGCCCTGTTTATTATGGCATTTTAATTCCTGTAATAGAACAACAACAACAGACAAAGATCAGCATAAATGGGAGGAACCTGAAAGAAACAACCTCCTTCACCTACCCACCACCTACCTGGGAAGCATCGTTTCAACTACAGGCCGACGGAACTGACGAGGATATCAAAGCAGCGAGGATCGGGAAAGTAAAACAAGCTTTCACTACTCTCACTTCTGTGTGGAGATCAACAGCACTCATCACTCAGCATGAAAATGAAAATAATATCCGGATTTTCAACTCCAATGTGAACTCAGTCAGTGCTACTCACTATACGGATGGATCAGAGACTTGGCCAGCGCGTCATAAAGAGCACCTCAAACAAACTACACACCTTCATCAACAGATAGTTGTCTTCGCTCAATACTCAAGATCAGATGGCTGGCAAGAAAAGATCAGCAACAGGGATCTCTGGCAATGAGCGAACCAACACAGCAGGAACCGATTTTGCATCAAATAGGCAGGAAGAAATGGAGATGGATGGGCTGGCCATACTCTGAGAAAATGAACAATTAAGTGACATCACTAGACAAGCCATTGCTCGAGTGGAACCCGACCGAAAGGGAAGCGGCGAGTTGGTCGTCAGTGCAAAGGTGACTTGGAGGAGGTCATGTGAAGAGGAGATGAAAACATGTGGGCAGACATGGAGCCAAGTGAAGACTCTAGCAGAGAACCGAACGCAATGGAGACGCACGGCTGAAGCCCTCCTATGTTCCTCTAGGAATTAGAGGAAACAATAATAATAATAATAAATAATAATAACAGTGATGTGAGTAGGTGATGAAATCTCTTCTAAAACTAACTAATTAAAATAACTGCAAAGTATTGTCATTTTTTTCACGTGCTTATTCCGGCCAGGTGATCCAGGCAGGTGACCAATTTTTTCACCACTGTTAAATAACTAAGATACATTAAAGCATGGCTTTCAAACCTCTACTATTCTATCTGTCAGAGCCTCTGCACCCCCTTTATTCACAACTATCCCCTTGTATCTCATCAGGTAGGACGAGAAGTCAATAATATAAGAAGTTATATGCTCGAACCACTAAGTACAAAAATTCTACAATACCCTATTTAGCCCGTATTTTATGTGATGGAGACACTCACTGTTAGACGTGAAACATATAAGAAGTTACTATGTAATTAGCAAAGTGAATCGACCCTTTCATCGTTTATCTTTCTGTAATTTTATGATGTCACCCTTTCAATCGTTTAATTATAACTTGGCTATTTTATTTTAGTTGTTATTACTACTATTATTACTACAATTTTATACTTTATGCATATTTTTCTCCGTATTGCATACAGTAAT